ACTGTCAGATATCAACTATACTTGTCTCAACTACGTCATGTCCACATTGACCCCACTGTGCTGCTGTTTTTAGTGCATCAATTATTCAATCAATATAATTATAGTGCAAATGAACTTAATATATTTTGGCAAATGTCTAGTAATTAAAAAAAAAAAGAAGTCTACTAATTTTAAATATTCAACTAGCAAATAGAATTTAATAAATTGATATTCTTAGTTATATTTAAACGAGTATATACAATAGTATTAATAATAGTCATGACTACTAATTATAATAATTAATAATTGATAATTATCAATTATTAGACACAATAATAAGTAATAGAATAAACTCAATGAAACTAAAGTAATTTGAAGTTATGGATGACACGTGGAGTTATCAAATAATTCAACCTAATAAAAAGTTATCTAAACGTAACAAAAAAAATATATCGAAAATTAAAAACCGTTAATATTCAATTTATATGCAAAAAACATGTAGTGGTAATATATTCTGGGATCATTTTTGATTTAAACGTTTTTCCCAGAAACGTTACGTGTAATTTCATGATAACCTGATTATTTCAGCTTTTTGTTGCATGAAAATTACAAACTCTATATTATATCCTGACACGTACTGATTTAATCTTCACGCTTATAGATTTTTAAATTAAATTGATAACACCACATTATATTGTAAAATATTGCACTTGTCTTAATACATCCTGAACTCCGTAGAAAATTAAATAAAATATTTATGCTACGGAGACAATTAAGGTTTTTAATTGTGAACTTTTAGTGATTCCCGTAAGTTTTATTCAAACACAAAATAAAAAATACAAGTTTACACTATTGTTTGTCATCAAAATGTAATTTTTTTGCAACTTGAAGTGACGTAATTGGAAATCTACGTGAAATTTATAACGAGAAATTTTTTTCGGTAAGGCTTTTTCGTTACCAAACAAAAGCTATTTTACAACTTTGGCTCTGATCTCGTCCTCTCCTGTTTTCTTTGTGTCTTTCCCTTCTCCACTCGTCGAGCACGTTTTTGTTGACAGCACTACGAAATAAAATTATCGATTGTATATGGCCAATAACAAATTATGCTGAAAATTCAATATGTATGAATATATATAAAAAGAAAAATGAAATATCCACTGACACCCGGACGTGAATTTCGAACGAAGGGTCGAATAACAGAAATTGATAAATACATGAATAATTTAATACACCAATCGGCCAACTGTAGTAGCACTATGTGCGCAATTAGTTGGTTTGTTAATTTGCTTGCTCCGTACAATGAACACGATTTGCGAATATTGATGTAACGTATACACCATGATGAAGTTAACCTGTTGACCGTTCCAGGTCTATGCGTATCGATTGAATCAGTTCTAGTGCATAGTCTGTAGCATACGCGTATCCGACTGGAATACCTTGTTAGTATATAGTTGCTAGTCCCAAGGTAATATATATATATATATATTTTCCTTCATCGCAGCTAAAAGGTGTGCGTGTATACTGGTGATAAATACAAAGGACGTGTTTTTATTTGTGTTGTTTAACTAAGTTTATTCTTCTTACAATAATAATAACAAGGGGAAAAAAGTGACAATAAAAGCGTGTAAAAATGAATCAGTAGGTAAAAAGAACTCGGGTATTGAAGAAAAACGTTTACGCTCCAAGGAAACAGAATATAAAGTTACAATTTATCATAACCTCAATGAAAACGAAAGCAAGAATCTGAAAAAAACTTTCGCGTGAAAAAGTATTATTGTCATATAATTTCAGATAACTAGACATTCATGTTACTCGTCAAAAATCGATTAAAATACATATCAAAACAATGACAAAGTATGTTTTAATAAAGGATTTACTTATATGTGGATTATATCATAATACCAAGAAATTGAATTGAATATGTTGTCTACAATTTAAAAATAAATTTTTAGGCAAAAAAAAGTTGTGGTAAACTCATAATTTATTGATGTCTGTTAAATTACGGTGATTATTAAAACTATTTTTATTCTACAATACATACAACAATAAATTAACATAAATATTTTACAACGGGACTTGATTATAGAGGGTCTTATAGTAAAACCTTCTATTTTCACTGCAATATGAATTATCAACATCAAGTGAATAATTTAACTTGCTAATAATCTGTTTTGGTTAATTATTGTTTGCTTTGTTCGTAGTTCAATGATGTTTTCTCATCGCTTCGTATTCAAATTAGAATAAAAAACAAAAAAGTAATAGACGAAGGTCTGATAAATATACAGATGATTGCATCGCATTCATAATATAATATTGAAATCAAATAGATATGTTAATAAATATTTCTATAGTTATTAAAGAGTATAATCTATAGTGGATACCAAAACTTTCTTCTAAGGTTGGTTGAGGTATAGGACTTTTTAGACTTTAATATAGTATATAAAATTTATTCAGTTTAAATAATGTATAGTTTTAGGTTTCTGATCATGATAATACTTAAAAGTTTGGGTTTGTTGTTTAATATTTTATTGGTTTTCTTTGAGTTTGAATAGTTAGTTATAATGACATGTACATTTGTAATCTACATTAAATAATGTTCTTTTAAAAAGATAAAGGTATTTGTTTAGGTTTCGGTTCTTACAAAGGCTTAACCATAGGTTTCTACTTTATGTTTGTAAAATTTTCCTATTATTATAGCTATTTCTTGTATTAGTTAAAGTATAAATTTAATTTGTTAAAAAAATACACATTTTTATAAATTATCATATTATAGTATTTTATTTTTGCCATTGGCTTTAAAATATAACATTCAAAGAGTTTAAAAAATGTTATATTAGCTCAATTTTCAGTAAAATTTTAAGTAGCTTGAATCATCTTCTCATTCGCCTTTATCTCAATAAAGAGGGTTGGCTACCCGTATCTTAAATATATTAAATTTTAATTTATAGAAAAATTGTGTATGATGTTTTTAGTAATAATTGTGTTTTGTAAATTGTTTTAAGTAACTGGTTTTTCTTTAATTAAGGTTTCAGGGTTTTTTTGTTATTGATATTTACAAATTTTAATTTCAAGGTTACGAAACATAAGTATTCTCAATACTTCTAAATGAAGTAGTCTTTGTTTAGATTTGTAAGTAGGGTTATTTATGGGTATTAGGATAAAATCCATTGAATTCGATACAAAAGATACCCTAGAACAAAGACTTGAAAGATCACAGGCGACTTACCCAATCCAATTTATACATCTCATAATAAATCGATAAATTATTCTTAAGTATCCAAAGGGCTATAAAACAGGTAATTGAATAATTTTAATTCGTAACACGAAATTTGATAGTTTTTACATACTTGATGTACCATATTAATCAAGTTCGGATTGATGTTTTTGAAATATTGCTGTCAATATGACAATAAGCTGTGAATAAGTTTAAATGTCTTTTAATAAATTATTCCACTCCATCATGAGGAATACCAATCTTTATTAAAAAAAAGTAGAATTCGATTATGTGCTTAGGGTTATGTTGAGTACTAATAACGCCTTGGGATAGTCTATTTCGTATTTTAATAATGCTGGTAAAAGCGGCGAATATGCCTTGTCCGCATTAAAATGCCGATATCTTCTCTCGGCAATATTACTGCAGCATCCCTTTTGTCCTTCATTCTTCTATCATATATGTAGTATTTGACATTTTGAAGGATATTCCGATTCGAGTGCCTACTTCGATAGCAAGTGCTGAACGTATAACGTAAGCTTTGCCACTAAGGATAAAATGATGATATAAATAAGTGATATTTTACCTATGTACTGATATTATATTTGATAAGATATCTAGGGTGTAGGATTAAAAAGAGCGTATAAACTTATTCAACAATGTTGAAGAGAGTAAAATTACAATTTTTTTTGTCAACAAATGAAAATACTTTTTAAATTATTTTAATACACTACTTTTCAATATTCTTTTAGTAAGAGTTACATTATTTTATTGCTTAATATTTTCGTAAATACTGGAAAATAATAATGAATTTTAATTTAATCTAATTGGTATTACACGTAATAAATATTTTATTAATATTATTTTATAAAAAAAAATTATCACGCGTGGCTAATATTATTAAAAATTAAAAATATATTTGAAATATTAGTTGAAAACTATAGAATATTCAACTTTATAAGCCAAAAAAATTACTAAAGAGTCGTGCATACATATTTCGGTAATTGTTGTGGCTTTTAAGTTAAATACTTCTTATATTTCTTTAGTTTTAAATTAATTTTTAAAATATATTTTTAATTTTGTACAATATTTTATTTTATAAATTTTACATATTTATTACTAACATTAGAATTTCTTCTCTCAATGGATTATTAGGAATAAAATGATTTTCATGTTTATTTATTATAAATAGTTTTCTAAGCAAGTATACTTATTAGTATTAAAATTTATTTTTCTTAACTAGGAAAGTTTAATGAAATACGAGCTTCCATAGCAGAGATTATTCGTGTAAGAAATGATGAAAACTTTTGTTTAAATATTTTATTCTACTCGGATAAGTTCAAAACTAAAGATAAAAGAGAGAGATTTTTAACTTTGGTATTTATTAATTTTGTGTACAGCTGTTAACAGCTTACATTATTGTTCAACTGCATTTGTATGATTTACAATTTTATTTAAAAATTAGAAACAATTATATAATAAAGTGACTACAAATAATTTTAATTTAAAACTTGTGTATTAACTAAGATTCTTTACGCGCAAATTAAGTTAGTCCATTTTCACAGAAAATATTTGCGTTTATAAATAATTATAATTTTGAATAAGGTATTTAGGTCATTTGATGGGTTTTTTGAATAACTTATCAGCTGATATTTAAAGAATAGTTAAATGCATTGATTTCTCTTTTTAGAAATAAAAATAAATTATCTTTATATAATAGTTTGATATGTATTTAGTTTTACTAACAGTTATTAATAAAACTGAATAATTATAATTATTTAAAAATATAACTATTGTTTAAATTTTTCAGATCGAAACCAGAAACTAGCAAGCAACCAGCTTGCAGGGCAGGAGGTTGTCGCGTTTGTCTTAAAAGTTTTAAAGAGGGTGATTATTCTCGTGTTTGTTTTGGATGTAAGTTCAAAGTATGTGAAGATTGTGCTACTTCATACACAAAAATTGATGAAAACCAAGACGAGGTAAACATTTACTGTTTAAAGTGTATTAATGGTAGAAGAAATGTAAGCACATTTTTAAATCAAAACTTTTATTTGTCGGGTGACATGGGTCAATGTGAAGAGAGCTCATCGATTTCAAAATAGTCTCTGCTCATCCATTATGTGGTCAATTTAGAGCTACCGACGTTATCCGATTTCTTCCTGCTGTTTTTTCTCCGTTTAACATTAAACCCATCAAGATTCCAGGAGTTTTGTTGTAAGAGATGGGTTAGTTGTCGAATGGGCATAATAAAGTAAAAACAAAAACGAAAAAATAAAGTACCTATAAAAGGCACCGATCAAATTAGACGGTGTGTCACATAAAAAATAACTCGTATCTGTTTTTAAATGAACTAATTTTCTCGTTATATCCATTCTCACCGGCAATTTTCCTTAAACGTTATAACACAAAATTGTGTGTTAAGAAAAGTTTACTAGAGTCATCTAATGATCAAATCAAAGATTTATTTTTTTATGGCGCTATAGGAAAGATTTTTTATAAGATAATTTTAATTATTAGTTTTAGAATAACTTAGAAAGTTATCAAAGAGTAACAAAAAATAAAATCATTAAAAGATTATATATTACAGCTAAATTGTATCTTTCGTGTGCAAATAAATAATATGAAATAACAATTTAGCTACAAAAAGTGCAGACTAACTCTAGATTCTGTGAGAAAATATATCATCTATAAATAAATTAAATTTAGAATTTTAGTTGAAATTAATAGCTTTGAGTGGGTAGAGTACATTTTATAGGTTCCTTTATCGTCTGTACACATGTAGGTCTTAACAGATGGCTATCATTATGTCTCATAAGGAATATAGAAACCATAACAAGCCTATCTTAAATTGGCTGGTTTTAACCTAACTTGTTCCTGTAATAAAATAGTACTTTTAGTCAGTTTTTCACATTTTTATAAGTATTTTTATACTTTAAATATTTCTTGTTTTTTGATTGACAATACTTTTTTAATGTAATATTAAGTTTTATTACTTTTTAGCGTAGTTTTTTCGGGGCTGTGGGGGATTCACCCCCGTAAATAAAATTTATTTTTTAGGGGATCAAGCGATGTTGTAGAAAATTTTCTTGTCAAGTCTATTTTTCATAATTTTATGATAAATATTACTTTTGATAACCTTTTTTTTTTGCTCAAAATCCTTATAAAAATAATAATTTTAGTAAAATATTTAGTTGTATGTATTTCAGTGTGTACTTTAGCCTTTACATAAATACTACCCTTAAAATATAGAACTCTAGACCCAACAGACAAAATTTTCAATCTACGCCTGTGTTTTTGCAATTTTTACTATAGTTTTCTATAAAAGTAAATATAATGAAAATTCCTAAAACGACTTAATTGTTTTTCGTAAGAATTTATTAGGTCCATTTTTAATAGTTTTAATTAGCTTAATTTTAGAATTTGAACTTAAACATGTGGAGAATATATCCTTTAAAATATTAGTGGGTCTCTTACAGTCATTACTTGTGATTATTAATGTAAATTTATCATTTAAATATCAATTATATATAAATATATAATTTATATATACAGAGTCCCCGCAAGGGAATCCGCAAGGGTTACGGGCCTAACAACCCCGCGGACCCTAGTTATTTCAGTGGGGGTGGCAACACGTACCACTGCTCTTAGCCGGTCATGACTTTGATTAGTTGGGACCGGTAGGCCTGGGCATACCTGCTTGCTAACAGCGAATAGGCCCTCCTAACCCAGCCATACCAAGTGAAAGGGTTGCTAACTTGTCACAGGGTAGTTAGCCGAAAGGTAAAGTGACCATTGGGATCCTCTATGGCACCTGGCGCACCATAGAGTATACAGCCTTATCACAGTATCGAGCTCTGCTGTGACGGACCTTTATTTCTCGACTTCTCGTGGGAACTATATGGATAAAAACATAGAAAAACCACAAAACAACGAACTTGTGACGATCAGGGATCCTACGGACAACCTGTCGGAACAAGAGCGTGAACTAGCGATTCTTCGCAAAAGAATCGCTGTACTTGAAGGTCTCAATGCCAACAACGGGACTCTTGGTGAACCGTCTACTAGCAAAGAGACAGCAACGTCAACTAATGCAGACCAGGAGTCGCAAGATCAACTGGGAGCAGTAGCTGACAAAATCGAGGATCTAAAACGTAGACCCTCGGACAATAGAATTCAATTCACTCAGATAAACCTGCATCACAGTAAGGGGGCCAGTAGCGTGTTACTAAGGACCCTAACTGAGAGGCATACAACACCCTTACAAATAGCACTTATTCAGGAACCATGGATAAATGGGGACCAGATTAAGGGGCTAAATCTAAGGAATTTTAAACTGTTTCATAAACAAGCAGATAAACCAAGAACTTGCATTTTGGTTAATAATAGAGTTAAAGCCAGCCTGATACTTAATCTATCAAGTGCAGACTTGACTATTATTAGAGTAACACTAAATGATGGTAAAAACATTATAGTAGCTTCAGGATACTTACCATATGAGGTCACAGACCCAGGTAGGGACCTAACTATGCTCTTTAATTATTGCAAAAATGAAAAATTAGAACTAATCCTAGGTATGGATGCTAATGCACACCACACTATTTGGGGGAGCAGTAACATCAACCAAAGAGGAGAGGTTATAATGGATCTATTGCTGACTACAGACCTAAGTATACTGAACAGAGGTAGTGAACCTACTTTTGTTATCAGGAACAGGCAGGAAGTCATTGATCTAACAGTTTGTTCAAAAGGGTTACTTCAAAAGATAAAAGGGTGGAAAGTGTCCTCCGAACCTTCTCTTTCTGATCATAGGCACTTACGATTCACTTTGGAAATTAACAAAGTTGAGACGGAGTACTATAGGAACCCGAAAAGAACAAACTGGGACAAATACAGAGCAGATCTCTCTCGTGACCTGATTAACCTACAGTTTAGATTGGGGTCGAGACAGAGTACTGAAAGGGCTGTAAATATGCTACAGGACTCCATTGTCTCAGCTTACAAAGAAAACTGTCCTTTAATAGAAAGGAAAGGTACAGGGCAGGGTGTAGCTTGGTGGAATGCTAACCTGTCTAAATTAAGAAAGAGTTCACGTAAGCTCTTAAATAAAGCAATGAAATCAGGTTTGGAACAACACTGGGAATCCTATAAGGACGCCCAAAGGAACTACAAATCTGCATTGAAAAAGTCCAAAAGAGAAAGCTGGAAGAAGTTCTGTGGGGATATACAACAACTCCCTATAGCAACTAGACTTCTGCGATCACTAAGGAATGGACCAAACAAAACTGTCGAGGCAATACTACTGCCAGACGGAATGTTCACCAATAATGATAATGAAACATTATCACATTTGATGAATACACATTTTCCTGACTCTACAATTAACAACAGAGAACAGGAACATGACGCACAGGACAAACGAGTGACCTGTGCTGATTGGAGACTAACCAGGAGAGTGATAACCCCAAGTGGAATAAGATGGGCAATAAAAGCCTTTGGCAGTTTTAAAGCTGCAGGCTGTGACGAAATTTTCCCTGCACTTCTGCAAGAAGGGTTAGAGATAATCGTCCCCCATCTCTGCAAAATATTTAGGGCATGCCTTGCCTATGGTTATCAACCAGAAAGCTGGCGTAAGGTTAGGGTAGTGTTTATACCCAAACCTAACCGCACTAACTAATATGAAGCAAAATCCTACAGACCAATAAGTCTTACTTCTTTTCTTCTTAAGACTATGGAGAAACTTATTGATAGGTACATCAAGGAGGGGCCTCTTAAGGAGAACCCTTTACATGAAAACCAACATGCGTATCAAACGGGGAAATCTACTGATACAGCTCTACACTGCTTAACTACTAAGATAGGGAAAGCTGTAGAGAATAAAATGTATGCAGTAGGTATATTCCTGGACATCGAAGGGGCTTTTGACAATACTCCCTTCGATGCTATGTGTGAATCTGCACAACAGCATGGAATAGAACCACTTATTATTAAGTGGATAGAATCCATGCTTAAGGAACGCTCCATTTTGGGACAGCTCAATGAGACCAAAGTAATCAAGAGTGTCAAACAGGGATGCCCACAAGGCGGGGTTCTATCCCCCTTGCTATGGTGTCTAGTATTGGACTCGCTTATTAGAGAGTTAAACAAATATTGTTATACACAAGCCTATGCGGATGACTTGGTTATAGCAGTGGTGGGAAAATTCCCAGACACTATTATTGACTTAGCACAACAGAGACTTAACACTATACAGATATGGTGTAGTAAGTACGGTCTATCTGTTAATCCAAATAAAGCAGAGGTTGTTATGTTCACTAGAAAGAGAATAGGACTAGACAACCTGGACACTCTTACTCTGAATGGACAAGAAATTAGCTTAAAATCAGAAGTAAAATACTTAGGTATTATCTTGGATAGTAAGCTAAAATGGAAATCACATGTTGAGTCAAGAATCAAAAAAGCAATGAACACATTGTGGACTTGCAGCAGAGCCTTGGGAAAGACATGGGGTCTTAAACCAAGAGTTATGTATTGGTTGTACACGTCAGTGATTAAACCTATGATATTGTACGGTGCCCTGGTCTGGTGGACCAGAACAGCACTCATTACAGCTAGGAAAGAACTTAGTCGCATACAGAGAATGGCTGCTATTGCCATCACTGGAGCATTAAGAACTACACCAACGGTCGCATTAGAGGCACTAATTGGATTGCCTCCTCTGCATCTAGAGGTGAAAGCTCACGCCAAAGCCACAGCACTAAGATTCCACAACTTAGTTATGTAGACTTTGGAGAGTGATACAACAGAACATGGTAAAATACTAAAAGAGATAGACAAGGGCTTTTTAGAATACCCCTTGGACTATATCAAACCGGTTCTTAAGAATAACATTCCCTACAAAGTGGAGATCACTACACGTATAGAATGGAATATTAACCACCTGACTGACAAAGGAGGATTTGTGATATATACAGATGGATCC